TTGTGAACTTCTCTGTCATTCCTAGTGCTGGGGAGAAAAACATGTTGAGGGTTAGGTTGTTTGCACATTTTTAAACCAACGGTGCTACACATCTTGGGTGTGCAATTCCCACCATTGTACAACTGAGTAGAAGAACTTGACTTAGGATCATAGAATCTTAAGAGATGGAAAGGATCTTGGAAGCCTCCTGGTCCACCTTGCCCAGGGCAAATCTTCAGATTTAAAAAGTAGAAACAGCAAGGTACAAATATTAAGAACTCTCTCAGGTCTTGAGTTCTTACCAATGGCTGGTAGCGTATGAGAAGATTTTCTTATCATCCATTTCACCAGCTCCCATGATGGCCACACTGGCTTTCCGTGGTCTCCAAGCAAATCAGTGAAGGTTTGATTTTCCTATAGACAACATGGACAAAGAAACTGAGATGGAGAGATCTCTGGGACAGCTCCTCCTTCTGGCTGATCTCCCCATTCTTAATAGCATTTTATGGAAAGTTGCAGCTGTATCCGACCTCTGGTCTCACTTTTCAGAGGACAATTAACTACCAATTGCCTAAAAAGGACCATAGAACGCTAGGCTGAGTTCTTTGTGGAGCACATTCCAGTAAACCTCAGAAAGATTAGGAAATCTACTCAGAAGACTACCTGGAAGCTGCAATTATGACAATATACTACAGCTTGCATGTTAGCAGGTGAGAGCTGCTATGTACAAATAACACTTTTCTTGGAGCCTCCACATTGGCTGCCAGTAGGCGTCTAGGTAGAAGTCTAAGTGCTGGTTTTGATCTGTAGAACCCTACATGACTTGAGACTTGAGTAGCTGCAGAAGCATTTGCTTCGAATGGAACCTATCATGTGCACACATCCCCTGTGGGGTACTGAGGATTCTTCTCCCATGAGCCATTTGGAGAAGGAAGAAAAATACGTGTTTCTTAGGAGCAGCACCCACCCTTTGAAAGAGCCTCCCATGGAGACCCAGGTAGCACTCTCCCTCCTGAAGTTCAGGAAGACACTGAAAGTGGAGCTATTCAGAAAGATGTTTGGGGGCTGAGATCTGGCGACTGGATGCCTAACAAAATTAGTCTTCAGAGTTGTTTTCTTCCTTATATTGTGTCGATTTATTGATTTATTGTTCTATTGATTCCTGATTTTAATTGTACACTGCCATGAGTTCTTGCAGAGCATGATGGCGTGAAAATACAACGGATCGCTCTTTTGTCCTCCCCCGTGAATACCTTCCTGATGTCATTTGCAGGAGAATGCTGTGCTCGCCTTTTGACTCATGCACAGTGCCTAGAAACCCACATTTTGTATAAGATGACTAATTTCCAATATTTTGCCCCATATTTTAGTTTGTTATTTTTGGAGAGCTGCGGTTCTGCAACAGTCTGAGTGGGACATGGTTCCAGAAGGCCAAAAATATCTTTAAAAAGCCTAAAAAATCAACTCTGACTTCGGGGCCTCCTTCTAAACCATGAGGACCGGAAACAGATAAGAATTTTCTGCTGTCCCCACTAGATTTCTGCTCTTGGGAAAAAGGGAAGATTTGCATTTTACATACCTGACCATCACTACTCTTGGAAGACATCATGACTGACCAAATTTGGAAGGAATACTTCATTTTCCGGATGGCCACACTCTCAACCTCAACCCCCAGGTCAGTCTTTAAGTGCGTTACCACCTTCAGCACAGCAAAGAGAATAAGGAACAAAAAAGAGCCATCAGCTTCTGTCTCAACTTTTTACACTATTTACTGAAGGAGTGGAAGGTCTGCTGACTAAAGGATGACCCAGCAACCTGAAAGAAGAAAAATTCCAAAGATTTTACAGCCATGGGAGAGCAACCCAGAATTACGAAAATTCCATCAGGACAGAAGTGGCCAAGGTAGAACCAGCATTATTGCGGTGATTACAGGCCACAGTGTGCTAAACAGGTAGTCCTTGACTAACAACGACAACAGGGATTGGAAAATTCATTGTTAAGTGGTGCGGTTGTTAAGTGAGGCATCACATGACTGCACCCAATTTTACAACCTTTTTGCTGTGGCATTAAGCGAATCACCATGGTCGTTAAGCAAAACATCACATGACCACGATTTGCAACCTTCCCTGCTGGTTTCCCCATTGACTTTGCTTGTCAGAAGCCGGCTGGGAAGTCGCAAATGGCAATCATGTGACCACGGGACGCTGCAACTGTCATAAATGCACAACAGTTGCCAAGGGCCCAAATCAATCACGTGATTGCAGGGATGCTGTGACAGCCATAAGCATGAGGACCAGTCATAAGTCCATTTTTTCAGCACTGTTGTAACTCTGAATGGTTGCTCAATGAATGGCCATAAGTCGAGGACTACCTATGTGTGTGTATAAGAATATAATATAATGCAATACAATATAATATATGGGGGGCAGGATCAGGATTTTCATTCTCCTCTTTTCTTCCTGCTCCCCACCCCCACCCCTTGCAGTTGCTGGGGTGAGTTTGATATTTTTCTTACTTTATTTAATTCTTAGATATATATCCCACCTTTCTTCCAGGAGTTCAGGGCAGCAAACCCTTCCAATCGTACCCATACATACCCACAATAACAATTCTGTAAAGTAACTTTGGTGGAGAATGAGGGATTGGGCCAAAATCACCCAACGAGCTTTCATGGTTGAGGCTAGTTCTGAACTCTGATTTTCCCACCTCCTATCGCCATCCAACTCTCTTTCCTTTGAACCCTAAGAGGCCTATATTACGTCTCATGCTTCAGTTTCCATGTGTTTCCCAACTCAAAATGGCAGAAAATTGCTTTCAGCAATTGCACTCAGGTTGCCCATCCCTATATTAGAGACAGAAGAGACTAGTAGTGTTTGTCACCTCCCACAGATTCATATATGCACATATGTGAATCATGTATTTGTGGTTCTGTCTGTATGGGGCAGTCTTGAACTTCACAACCTCTTCTATTTGGAGATTCTAACTTGACAAGACAGAATATGTATATACAAATATGTACATACTCTGTCTACAAGTCTCTTACTCTTTTTTTCTCCCCAAGCATTTTTCTCCACTGAACAAAAGGTACGCATCTGTGAACTAGCCCTAATGGTGACGGAGAGAAGAAAATGCACCTGATGTTTCCAGTGCAACTCCAGTTAAACCAGTGTGCTCCAGGACATCCGAGTCCCAGAACTCAGGAGAATATTAAGCAAACATCCCTTTAGTTCAAATATTGCATCCAACTTTGTTCTGGCAAGGCCACAGTCACAAGATCCAAGTCAGACCCGCAGACATTATGCCCCAGTAGCACTGCATTTTATCTCAAACGAACCTTTCATTAGGAACTATCTTAAACCAGGTCACCAAGTCTTAATCTTCTAGCATAGTATATTCTTTCTTGAGTTACAGTGACTTTCCAGGTGTCAGCCCAACTGTCTCTCCTCTCCTTTCAGAGATGCCTGGACCTGAACTGGGACCTTCTGCATACAAAACTGGTGATTCAGCATGTTGAGCTACAGGCCCTCTTACGATTCTCCACAAGACACAGTCCAGGTCTACTGGGCTACCAGAGAGAACTCACAGATGAAATTCACCTCGGCTCACTACATTGCCATTGACCTAAACTGCTACCCAATTTCCACAACAGCACTTAAGTTTGGGAGCAACCAAGAGCAGCATCTTCTTACTTTCCGATGAGCTTGAAGAATCTCTTTCTCAACTGGGAAGATGAAAACGGATCCTCCATCGTGTTCCATAGAATAAAACTTTATATTCTGCAAGGATACCTCGTCATCCAGCTTCAGTCTGAAGATGAAGGAATAAGATAAAAAGGCAGCAGTGAAGAACAAGGGGACCTATCCTACCTTAGAAGAGCCCAACTGAAATCTGTACCCTTGGCTTTAGGTTAGTCCAGCTCCTTGATAATATAATCAATGACAGCTAAGGCTCTAAAACTAGTAGGAACATCATCCTTGTCCTGAAGATTTCAAGCAAGGTGACAAAATAGCTGCGACACTGATGCGAAATGCCAACTACAATATGTTTTTCGACACAAGGCTGGGTCTCTTTGAGGCAGTACAAATCAACAGAAGTCACCTACTTGGAAATGTTTGTTCCAGCCATGACTCTCAACATGAGTTCTAGGTCTTCAGCATAACGACACATGGGTCCCGTGCACAGGAAGTCGGTCCGGGGACCCACAGCATCAGGGAATTGGCCATTGTTGGGCACCACACCTACAGAAACCCACAGAAGCACTGAGTTTAGTTCTGTATGGCAAACCATATTCTCCTGGGCTGACATTAGCTGTTGCTTTTTTTTTTTACATTTGGTGAGATACAGCAAGCAAAACAGAATATGCAAATCATCATCATCATCATCATCATCATCATCATCGTCATCCAACAGTGATAATGCAATTAAAACTCTATGTCATAGTGATTAAAACGAGCAAAAAGTAAAGAAATAAAAAACGTCCATATTATTTTAATACAGAATTAGCACAATCTTTTCAAAGCTTTCAGTAATTCTAGACCAATACAGAAATGGATTGCTCCATCTGAACATTTATATAATATAGGGACATTTCAAAAAAAGGATAAAGAATACATTTTTAAAACCCTCCGTAACATCAGGAGTGGAAATTCCTTTTCATCTATTTTCTTTTCACTGATGTAAGATAATTCCTTTTATATATTTACTCATGTACTCAATTTATATAGCCTTTTGCTGAACTGCAGGCTTAAAAAAACCAAAGATATTCATAAAATGTCAAATCCCGTGTTTCTGGAGTACAATTCAGCATTACGGTTACATTTTTAATTGATGTGTTTTTCCCTAGAGTCATACTAACATATGTATTGACCTGAAACTCAAAAAGAGCCATGAAGGGGCATTTAATAAAGGAGGATACTTAATACTATCACGTACACAATATAAATAGCTTTTCCAAAAGTTTGTCTCTTGGTCCAACTCAATTCTTGCCAGAAATGCTACAATTTTGATTATTGTGAAACTGCAGGGCACCATTTATTGCCTCTCAGGAATAAATATCATGATGAGAATAAAACAAACCACAGAATGGGAAGGTACACCTGCACTGAAATGTGCTTTTCTCTTCCCTCCACATTCCTTTTTCCTCTTGTATCGTGCCTATTAGATTGTGAATACCCATGTAGGGATGGGTTGCACTTTTAATACGACCTTTCTGCAAAGCACAAGGCACATTATGAGTCAATAATCCTTAACAGGAAACAGTTACAAGATTCAGAACTACTGCCTACACCAGTGTTTTTCAACCTTGGCAACTTGAAGATGTGCGGACTTCAACTCCCAGAATTCCCCAGCCAGCATAGAATTCTGGGAGTTGAAGTCCGCACATCTTCAGGTGGCCAAGGTTGAGAAACGCTGGCCTACACTAAGAAGACATCAGATTTATGGAAATTGTTATTCTACCCCTCCCTCTTAAAAAAAAATATTGAAGACAAGGAAAGATGTAATTGCAAACAGAGGTAAATAAATACTAAAAGTTTGGGGGGCAAAAATCAATTGCTCTTGCCTATTAAAAGCCATGCACCATACTGAGCTATTGTTATAGATCAAGGATTGCAACAGACTAATTTAAGAAGTAGAAGAAGTTTCTTAAGGCTGTGCAATAGTTCGATTCAAATGCCTTCAGACCTGCGGGCACCTGCTCCCAGCATCTGTCTGCAACTCCTTAAATGAAATGCAGCTGTTTAATCCTGGGTGCAGCTATTTAATCAAAGGTGCAACTCTGTGGTTTTGTTATTTACTTTTTTAATCTTCGTTGGGAGCCTCTCTGTCTCTTTTTTGCTTGCAATACAGATAAGCGTATGTCACGTACTTTAAGCACGTGAATCTTCCTTACCAATAATTCTCATGCTCGTTCTAGCAACATTCTGGTCTGTAAGACTTGGATTCAATGAACGGAAAAAAGAAAATTTTTAATACATAATTTCTTTGCCGGTTTCTATAACTTGAGGCTATTTTCCTCTAGACTTTTACTGAATTATTTTGAATGCCCGCAAGGATTGTTATAAGCATGTTGCAAGTCGTTTTAGTGCCCTTTTTCATGCTGTTTCTGTTTTCACGGTGCCCTTGAAAAAGCAACACATTTTCCAAAACGCCAAAGAAAAACTTTTTCATCGGCATTTGTGATTCCTCCATATCTTTTACTTCCTTCAGTGCCTGCTTTTCTCCTTCATTGCAACTCCTTAGATCAAATGCAATTGTGCAATCCTTGGAAAAGACACCATTCTCTTCTATTTTCAGGAGTCACAGACAGCGGTCATATGCCCCTCCATACACCAAAGCTTTTTTTCACCTGCAAACACAAAGCCCCACCCAACCCTACACTCACATGAGGTTTCCATTATTTTTTCCTTCATTACCTTTTTATACGGCCAACTACCATTGGACTCATAGCGGTTTACGTGTATTAAAACACCCAAACATTCTTTTAACAAATCATTACAATTCCAACATCTACAAAATAAATAAACTAGTTGTTCTTGTTTTGATTGTTTAAAGAAAGGAAAGCAAAATGTTCTCCCCTCAATGGCCAATGATCAAGCAAAATTCAATCAATCTTCTGCCCACGACAGGAATAATTTTGACCGTTAAGGAGAAGTGTGTTTAAATTAAGTTAAGGTGCTCCTTAAAAGATAATCGTGTCCAGATATCCATTGCCCGTAACTGACTCTTCATCAATTTTTGACACGTCTTTCACACTCTACAAATGGAGCAATTTGCTTCCACGGGGCCTAGATTGCTTCCTAAGGTCAAGGATTGAATTAATTTTATATTAGTATCATATTTTTGCTTCGTTTCTTTTTGCCTCCCTTTCTTTAGTTTATTTTAATCCCTGTAATGTATATGTAGTTTCTTTATTACACCATCACGGATGCTTTTCATGTGCGTGGGGTGTTATCATCCCATTTTCAAACACGGTAAAAGCTTGTCACTGGCTCTTGTAGTGACAAGTTAGAACTGCTTCTGGGGGGAAAGACCAGGCAGTACCTGTGCTGGGCTTGTGCCCAAAGATGCCATTGAAGAAAGCGGGCATGCGGATGCTGCCCCCGATGTCTGAGCCGATCCCAATCACAGAACCAGCGGCTGCTAAGATGGAACCTTCACCTCCTGCGGAAGACAAAGGCCAGATTGGCACTGCAGTAAGGGCAGATCAGGCTAATGGACCGGCCTGCAGAATCTGTTCTGAAAAGAGCAGATAAACCACTCTGCGGTGGCAACAGCTTCCTTCAAAGCCTGTGTTCCTCCCCCGGTCTATGATTTACCTGCCAACACAAGCAGATCCAGTGCCCAGCTGAGTTATACAGGTTATACAGATGCACACCTGGCTTGTGAATTCATTTAGGTCAGGGTTCCTCTCTCATAGGTAGGTAGGTAGGTAGACAGACAGACAGACAGACACACACACACACAGATACACACACACACACACAATTTTTATTAAAGAATTTTTTTAAAGAATTAAAACAATATACATTTTGAAATAAAAAAGTAAGGAAAGTAAAGAAAAGTATTAGTATTTGGAAAAAATTGCAAAGAAAGAAATAGGGAAAGGACAGGACAGGACAAGGACAAGGACAAGGACAAGGACAAGGACAAGGACAAGGACAAGGA